CAGCCCGTTTTAACATATCTAATTATGGTCAATAATTAAGATTTTAATCTCATTTGAAAAATACATATTTGTATCCCTGTAGAACTACATATTTCTTTTTACATTTGAAAATGGAAATCCCTTTTCATCGCGACTCTCACTTTCTTTCTCGAACAAGCAACCATTGTCGAACCGTTAATTACCGCCACCGTCACACCACCGTCGTGATCGAAAAAGTCGTCATTAGGAAAAGATTCACACGTGTCGCATCGTTGCTCGCATTATTGCCACCGAGGTACGTTGTGGCCTACTGTTGCTGCCGTTTTCAATACATGTTGCAACCATCTAGGCTCCACGCTAAGCCGCGTCGCGCGAGATCGTCACTAGGGATGACGACGCGTGCGCATAACTATTAGATGTCGATTGACTTCTTTTCGCGCACACTGACGTACGCGTCTGCAGCCCGTCTACCGTCTGAGAGGCGCGCATCACTGGAGCGCTCATAGCACCATTTTCGGGGCTAACCACGATTTTGGATTTGAACAGCTTCGTCTCGATCGCTTTGAACCACGAATCAGATCAATCTGTAAAACAACACTTCGACGCTCAAGTCAGAAATCTTGTTATCAATAGAGAAAACTTAATGAGACTGCAACTCTAGAAATTGAACATGCATTACTTATTTTTAAGTGAGTTAATGAATTATTCCCCAAGAGGTTTTCTCAATAATGAATGAGTCCAATATTTCAGAATCAATTGTAGATATACACAAATTACTTTGATATTTCTTTAAGACTATTTTCTAAATCTTCATATAAATTTAAATTAATATCATATATCTTTATACGTAGAACTCGAGTCAAATTGGAGGACTAATATTATGAATTATACATCATATAGTGGAGCTTATTGGCTTAAAATTCGTCCAAAAGTAGAACAATATTTCTTTCATTCCTTGTCCAAGTTCCTCCATGGAATTGTGGCGTCGTGGCCTTGAACTCGTCCAGGCCCCATGAACCTATTATGTTTGAGTTTTCAATATGTCTAAGCTAGACGTGATCACGGGCCGACGCGGCCAGCCAGCTTGGCTCGGAAACTGCATGTGGTCAATGGGCCTTGAACCGAGCATATGGTTCGACTGGGCCACATATTTGTAATTTCTTGAAAAGGTCGGTTTCAGTTTGAAACCGCCCGACAGTTCAACCTTTATTTTTTATTTTACGTTAATCAGCTTAATTAATCAACCGACCCGTTTTGAACCCGAAACGAGATATGTTCATCTCCTTTGAATTTCTCATTAGCGAG